GAATGAAAATGTTATAGGGACTAAAAACAATTCATTTTAGAAAAAAATTTGTTAAGTGCAATAAAATTACACGCCAACTTATAACAAAGTCCCTGTTTCTAAGCAGCAAAAGACCCTTTTACTTCTTCCCACATGAGAAAAGTGGTCCTCTTTCTTGCTATTCTGATAGGTAACGCAAAAAGACCCAGCATGTGCTCGTATGTACGGCTGTTCCATTATTGAGGAGGAGGAAGTGGGAATGAAGGAAGGGGCACTTACTGAGGGCCTACTACATGCCAGGTACTGGGCCTGAATACTTTAGCATGAGTTATCACTGTGCTTTTAGAAACTACAGAACCAACCTAACCCCATTGTAACCACGGAAATTCAGCCTGTCAAGGTACTGAGAATTTTTCTATGCTGCAGTGTAGAAATGAAGACAGTCAGCATTCCTTCATAAGGCATCTTACGCCAGGCCACAAGTTACACAAACTTGTGGGCACTCAGAACTATCTGGCTAAAGAGAAATGAGTGATGGGGTCTGTTCTTAAAGTCCAACATTCCCATTCCATTTGAGAGGTTCCACGTAGGTCAGAGAAAGGGCAATGCTGGAAGTAAAAATTTTGACCATTGTTCTCCAAAAATCCATGGGCAGCCGGTTAGCTCAGTTGGTTAGAGCGCAGTGCTCCTAACACCAAGGTTACCAGTTTGATCACCACACGGGCCACTGAGCTGCACCCTCCACAACTAGATTGAAACAACTACCTGACTTGGAGCTGATAGGTCCTGGAAAAGCACACTGTTCCCCAATTGAAAAAAAAAAAAAAAATCCTTAGACCCGGAAATCGGCTATAGGCTGAGAAGGATCCACATTAGCTGTCTCTTACATGTAGAAAGCCCCACACTAACCCAGTCCTTCCTCTTTTTGTTTTCTTCCTTTTCCTTCTCCTAATCCACACGGTCTCTCACTCATATTTGGTCTTTCAGCCTCTGTTCCTTTCCTGCTGACAAAGAAGTCTGGGTCCCTGTGACTCTGTGGCTCACTGACCAGTGGCATCAGCACCACCTGGGTGCCGGTTAGATATGCAGATCTCAGGCCCCACCCAGACCTGCTGAATCAGAATCTGCATTTTCACAGGATACCAGGTGATTACTATGTACATAAAAGCCTGAAAGCACCGCTCTAGACCAGAAGTGGTAGCAAATAAGTTTCAGCTGACAAACCAACTTCGTAATAGGAGTAGCTGACTGGAGCCGTGAACTGGCTCAGTGCAAGAGCTCTCGGACTGTAAGGGACTGTATAGCTCATATCCCCTATGAGCACGGTATAAAGTGTGGCATCTATACTTTGTATTCAGAAACAAACCTAATACCTCCTAGTGTTTCTTCTCGAAGCAGCAGTTGTCTCTGGACCCCTACTAAGTGAGGCAGCATCACCCTTAGACTAAGGCAAGTGGAGCCCCTGCTCTGGACTTGGCCCATCAGGGGCTCCCACACTTTGGAGTACCTTCCTCAGAGTGGTCTGAGCCCCTTTCTCGTGCCTGGGCCTGGGCAGGGCCAGAAGTGCTACCTGGGTTAGGCACCTCATGCCTGGACCTGGTCCTGTGTCAGTCCTGGTCCCAGGGAGTCCCCTCAGTGGTGACAAGCCAGCCACGGCAGAGCCACGAGGGCAAGGCATTCTGAACCTTGCCAGGCCTACGTGGGTCCTGATTCCCATTTCTCCCCGTCAAGGTGCTGCTCAACACTTCTCCATTCATGGGGTCAACAAGATGCCCTGAGCAGGTCTGGGATTCGTGCCTATGGGATTGTCCCAGGTTCTGTGGCAGGTTTCCTGTTCCAAGAAAGCCAACTGGCAAGCACAGCATTCCTTTCGCAGGATTGCATAAGACTGGGCATCCAGAGGTGTTGATATGTTGATTTTAAGTGATTTTCATGAGGGACATAGAACAAGTTCAGGGATGTAGGCTATTGGAGACCTACTACTGACCCTGGGCTTGAGCCACAGATGTGGGTCCATGTATTGGCTTTTACTCATCCGCCAACTACGGTGCCACTTGCAGGTCCCAGCATGCCAGGGCAGTGTGGGGGCAACACACACACACACACACACACACACACACCAGATCGTCTTTATCCGTTCGTCTATCCATGAACACCTAGGTTGTTTCCATGTCTTGGCTACTATAAATAATGCTGCAATGAACATAGGGGTGCGTGTATCTTTTAGAAGTAGTGTTTTTGTTTTCTCTGGATAAATACTCAGGAGTGGAACTGCGGGGTTGTATGATATACCCATTTTTAGTTTTTGTTTGTTCGTTTGCTTTTAAAGATTTTATTGGGGAATTGGGGGAAGGGAATAGCGTTGGGGAATCAGGGAAGGGGAACAGACAAGTTGCTGTCCTTTTGTTCTTCAGTCTAATTGTGGAGGACATCGCTTCACTGGCCCATTTTGGTACTATCATTGTGCTCTTCCCAGGTGAGGCAGATTAGTGGCCAGCCATTGGACGGCCCTTCACGGTGACTCACGGCAGCCAAGCTCTAGGTTGAGCTGTTGTTTACTATCTTAGCTGTAGAGGGTACAGCATCACTGGCCCTCATGTGGGATCTGAACAGGGGCCCTGCTGCTCAGAACTGGCATCCCAAGCCAACTCTTAACCAACGCGCCACTTGGCCGGCCCTATTTTTAATTTTATGAGGAATCTCCACACTGCCTTCCATAGCGGCTGTACCAATCTGCATTCCCACCAACAGTGTTTGAGGGTTCCTTTTTCTCCACAACCTCTCCAACACTTGTTACTTGTCTTGTTGATGATAGCCATTCTAACAGGTGTGAGATGATATCTCATTGTGGTTTTTATTTGCAATTCCCTAATAGCTAGTGAGATTGAGCTTTCATGTATCTGTTGACTGTATATGTTCTTGGGAGAAGTGTCTGTTCAGATCCTCTGCCCATTTTTTAATTGGGTAGTTTTTTTTATTGCTGAGTTGTATAAGCTCTTTATATATTTTTGGATATCAACCCCTTATCAGATACCTCATCAGCAAATATATTCTCCCATTCAGTAGGTTGCCTTTTATGCAGTAATAAAAAAGGTGAAATCTTGCCATTTGTGACAACATGGATGGATCTAAGCAGTATTATGCTAAGTGAAATGTCAGGCAGAGAAAGACAAATACCATATGGCTTCACTTATATGTATAATCTAAAACAAAACAAAAACAGACTCATAGAAAGAAACCAAAGGAATGGTTTACCAGAAGAGAGGGGGTGCGAGGACGGGTTAAATGGGGAAGGGGAATATAGTCAAGAATACCGTGATAAGTTTACATGGTAACAGATGATTACTAGAATTAGTGGGGTGGTCACATTGTAAGGTATAACAATGTCAAATCACTTTATTGTACACCTAAAACTACTATAACCAATATAAGATTGTATACCAAATATACTTAAATTAAAAAAAATTTTTTTAATTAAAAAATAAAAAAACAGGCAGTTATCATCCATGCCCTCGCATCTCCACTGACACAGCAATGTTAGGCTGCCTTGGGTCAGTCTTAAGCCAAGCGAGATGAGGGACAGGGACAGACATTCCTGCCCAGGGACTGTTCTCACTTGCCCTCGGGCCTCCTACCTAGCCTTCCTGCAGGTGTGGTGTGTGGAAGGAGAGGGTGTTGTCACCTGGAAAGAGATTCCATTCTTGGAATAAAGTGATTTCAGTGTCAAGAATTAAAAAAAAAAAAAAAATGCATGGTTGGAAAAATGGAAAATTTAACCTGAGTTAGAAATAAATGATGGTTCCCATTTTTTTGCATTTGTGGTCATCATCAGTGAAGCACAGTGGGCAGCTCTGGGAGCAATTAGAAGCTAGAAGCCAGTGTTCACAGGCAGGATGGATGACACAGCATCATGGGTGACGGATGCCACAGTCAGGATTAAATGTTATTAGAGAACTTCAGAGACAAGCGAATCTTTAATATTTCAAAACAAATGGGTTGGCAAGAGCCCTGGCAGTAAGAGGAAAAACAGTGTCGCTGCCTTTTTTTAGTGATGAGAGACATGAAATTAGTCAGAAATGGCACATTTGACAATAGGATTTAACAAAGAATCTTTGTGTTTAAGGACAAAAACTAAACCTGTCACATTTCTATCAAGTCCTTTGTAGCTGACTGTGTTAATCCCGTTCAATTTCTGTTCCGCTTGACCTTACTACGGTTTACCTCTGTATCTTCAGATTATTGTTCTTGCCTTTTTGTACATAAAATCATTCATAATCTCCTCCAACATCTCACCCAATCACTGTTTCCACTTCTCTAGCGGCAGCATAAACGCTATCAGAAATGGCTCAAAACATTCTCTCTCGCTTCTAAACTGCTTGGTTGTCCTCCAGGAACTCCTAAATTTCAGAGTTTGTAAGGGTATGTGAAATGGTGAGGCGTGGATGAGAGAAGCACAGATAGAGAAATGTATTACAACATAGCCAAATAAATGTATGATAACTTCCAAATTATTTTCCATGGGAACAAGTTCATTCACAAAGAGTTACAAGTACTTGTCGAAGACTTACTGAGCTAGACATTGTGGGAGATCAAAAATTCAGGCCACAGACTCTGCTTTCAGGAGGTGCGCGCGCGCATGCACGTGCGCATACACACGCGCGCGCGCGCACACACACACACACACACACACACACACACACACACACACACACACACACACACACAATACTCCTGAGACTCAAAGGAGGGAGACATTATGATAGACTAGGGTTAAGATTTAAAAAGATTCTTTAATGAGGATGGTTTGGCAGGATGGGGGGTAGGGGTGGGGGGGTTACTTCTAGAATCAATCAGACAAAATATTTGTATTTTCAATAAATTTATTTTTCTAATCTTGAAATAAAAGAAAGCTTTTCCATGAAATACACTAGGATTATTTATCTACCTCACTGATTAGCAAATGTGATATAAATCATCAAATATACTGAATGAAGAATCAGAGACATCATAAAAACGGAATCTCTGGGGCTTTCTATTATTGCCATGAGTACCAAGTTATGGTAACAGTTTAATCATGGAGTTATTTGAAATCCCTCTGTTAACATATCAAAGGCTTTCAACTAAATATATAACTTTGCTGAAATGAAGAAATATTTCCAGTATAAACGGGATGGTACTGATAAATCAGTGCTTCATCCTCTTCAACATCAGATTCAAAATGATGATTGTTTTTCCGTGCTGCAAAAAAAAGTGTGAATTTTTAAAAACATGGGACAAAATTTTCAAAAGGCTATTTTATAATATCTCTTCCTATAATTGGCATTATTAATCAGGAAATACCACCAAAAAGGAGGCATGCCTAGCCAAGTTTCCCCCAAGTAAAGCAGCCCTGACTGAGTCACTACTGACTAATACAGCAGCTGAGTTTGCCCTGCACCAGGTCCCAGGTGGGGCTCGCCCCCCGATTCATTCAAACACTTACTAGGTGTCCATTGTGTATAAAATTTGATGCAGAGCCTGGGGATGGAAACATGAACAGAGCAAGGTCCTAACGCTCGAGACGTCTAGTCCAGTAACCCCCAGAATCGCATAGTGTATGGTTTATCTTCAATGAGCTGCTTCAAGAGTAAGGAAGATGGAGAAACAGGCAAAGCTAAGGCAGATAGAGCAGTGATGCGATTTCCACCAATAAGGCAGAAGCATGAAAAACTCAGAAGCTCAGAGAACTTGGCATAAAGTTTGGATATGAGGAGGTGAAGGCTCAGAATTTATCCTACAGTCAAAATAAAGTATATATAGGCTTTTCCAGCATGTATAGAAAAAAAGACACTGAAAAATAAAGACCAAGTCAAGGGCCCACCGTGTGATAATACTGCAGCCAACTTCACTCTGCCTGTCGCTGTTCTCATTTACTCCTCCTCACACAACATGAAAATGTTTCTTTGGACTAATGCTGCACATGGGAGAACTCTTTTTTTTTTAATTTGGAGTTTTTGTCATGCAACTCCCCATTCAGCTGAGCATAATTCTAAATCAGAGTGAACGTGGGAGGAAGCACTTTACTTGCCAGTGTGGGCAGGAGGGCTGATAACAGCTTAGGCCAAGCTTGGCAAGAAATGCCATCAGGGCTCACTGACGTTTTCTATGGCCACGCCTCGCCAGAAAGATGCCCCACCTCTGAGAGTTTGTGTCTGTGGTCCTGTCTTATCCCAGAATCATCAACTAAAACATAATCATCTACAATCAAATTCTCAATATTAAACACAAACATAACATAGCATGAAAATGTCTGCGTTTTCATCATGATTCAGCAGGGAAAGCTTATTAACTTTCTCCAACGTGCCAATGACTACAGATGGGCAGCCTTAAAAACAGACTGATATGTATATATTCAATTTATATGACTGTCTTGGAAAAATAACATCTAATTCTCAGAGCATGTTATAATGAAAGCATTATTCCTAAAAAGTAGAGTATTGGGGGAAACTTTTAAAATGTATTCAAGAAAGAGAGTCGGCCGAGTGGCTCAGTTGGTTAAGAGCTCACTCAAGAGTGCGAGCTCTGAGCAACAGCGGTTCGAGTCCAGGCCCCAGCTGAGCTGCCACTGAGCTGCCAACAGGTGGCAGGATGGCTCAGCTAAAAAAAAAAAAAAAAGTATTGAAGAAAGAAAAAATAGAATACAACAATCTTTATGCTGTTGTTCAAGAATTCAGCCCACGTTAGAGTGTACAATACTAAGAACCGAAACCGCTGTCCTGGTTTTATTTGAACGCCTAATACCTCAACTTCAGGGCTTTCACATGATTTAATTTCTTTTACAGTTAAACCTACAGACCATTTACAAAGCAGGAGTATATAAAAGTTCAGATGAGGGCAATTTCCTTCCAAACTACACTAATAGCATAAGATGTATACCCACATATTACCTTCAGAAACAAAGAACTCTGCTAAATAAAACGCAGCCTTCACAGCGTTGGGTGCATGGGAAATGCCCTCGAATCTCCCCCACTCGTAAGGCGCTTTCTCTGGATGCCACTGGACTCCATATACTGGATATCTGTATCCTGCACAAAGAACACAAACGAGTAATAAGTAAGATACAAGAAGGGAAACGGTTAAAGAAAAGATGATCAGCTCAGATAAGTTCACTTCAGACTGTTTTGCTTGACCTTCCCCAGAATTCCCCAGATATTTTTTCTAAACCCTTAGATGTTTGACCTCCCCGCACAAGCGAGCCAGCGATATGGCCAATCTCTGAACAACCCGAGCTATACCCACTTGACTCCATTTTAGCCCACGCCAGAACCCGAGCCTCTCAGGCAGCACTTTCGGCCTCATCAACTGCCTGCCTATGGTTTCTGCAAGTTGTCCTTCATGGTACCTTGCTTCCTTGTGCATTTGTGATTTTCTGGCTAGGAAGTGCTCGTGTTCCTTAAAACATCATATGGAAATTCTTTGAAGTCTGCGATAAATGGACGTTCCTCCAGAGAGAATTATTTACATTTGCTTCTGCTATGCATGTCGGGGGACACTCAGTCTGAGCCAACTTTAAACAAAATTTTTGACTTGCGATTCCTCGAACTTCCCAGTTAGTACAATGCAGGCCACGCTGGACCAGCCCATCACTGTGAATGCTGAGGGCTTCTTTACCACCTCTGCTCCCTCACGGCCAAGGTTCAAGGCAGGCAATTCTCCTTGCAGTTCTGCAGGCAGGATTTGTTGAGGGTGTAGCCTTCAGGTCCTGCTCCATGGGGTCCTCTCCATGTACAGGGGTCCTGAGATTTGCTTCAAGTTCTCCTTATTTAATAATAATGATTTGGGGCGGCCGGGCGGCTCAGTTGGTTAGAGCACACGCTCTTAACAACAAGGTTGCTGGTTCAACTCCCACATGGGATGGTGGCTGCGCCCCCCGCAACTAGACTGAAAGCAGCGACTGGACTTGGAGCTGAGCTGCACTCTCCACAATTAAGATTGAAGGACAACAATTTGACTTGGAGCTGATGGGTCCTGGAAAAAACACACTGTTCCCCAATAAAGCTTAAAAAATTAATTAATTAATTAATTAACTAACAATGCTGCTTTAAATACTCCACTTCAATCGGTTTCCCTGTGCAGTGGCCATCATGCTCACCTAACACCCGAGAGGTCCTTGGTTGGAAACCCAGCAGAGGCAATCAGTGTTCTCTGCCTTCCAGATTCCGGGAGAAGGCACCCGACCACCTCCTTTGAAGTGCCCCCCCGACCCCAAATACTCCACTGAACCCTTGGAGTTCTGAGCATGAGTATCCTTAATTTCTTGCCACTTCACCAATGTATTCAGGAAGGTGCTTTTCTGTATGTCAGTTACATCTTTTGTTGCTGTCTGGAGGAGACTCCGTCAAGGTACTTAATCTGCGGTACTGCTAGAAAGAGAAGCCACTTTCTCCATGTTCCTCTTCATCCACTCGCCCCTTATTCTTTCCTCTCCTTCCTCACCACCCCATTCTAGAAGATGACCAAGGTAAACCACCACCAATGTGGAACATGGACAAAACACGTTTCCTTTCTCCAAAAGTGCCCTGACTTCCACGTTCAGGCCCTAAAGTTAACATGAATTTATTCATAAGAAAATATAAAATCAAAAGTCATAAACATAAACATAATATGTGAAAAAGTGTACATGTGCAGTGATATATACCTTCCATTGTTGAAATGAAATCAATCTTGCCATCTGTATTTGTAGTTAAAACATTGAAAAACTTCTTTAACTTTTCATTCTTCGTAAAATTCTAGAGTATAACAATAAAGCAAAATAATTACTCCTATAATGAATCCAAATGCATTAATTTCATTATATAATTAATGTGATACCATCACGGAGAGGCTCCACTTGTGGAAATTTGCAGTCAGAGGTTCTACGGCTAATGATTGCAACAATTCAGTAGGAAAATTCTGGAACATTCTGCTCTTCACTGGACCTGAAATAATTTAAGTAGAAAGAAAATAATTTAAACACAGAAAAAAAAAAAGCCACTTAAGTCACTGACCTATAGCCAAAGAGCAGCCATTAATAAGACAATCAAGATCACTAAGCAAAACACATCATTTGCACAGAAACATTCCAGTCTACAAATTCAAATAGGGTTCGTATTTAAGTACTTTTCCTCGAGAATTTTAACATGAATAACTAAAATTCTTCTGATAGGATAAATAGCAGATTAGCCACAGAGTAAGCAAGAGAACCTGAAATTCTCTAGAGAGCACTGAAAAACAGGTAAAATTTTCCACATGTGTATATATTTGTTTTCCCGGGAAAGGGTCCAGAGCTTTCAACATATTTTAAAAAGGTATCTGGAACTTAAATGGTTAAAAATACCAACAATGTAGAAAAGAACATCAACCAGGTCAAGAAATTTCTAGTCAGATAGATTAACAAACAACAAAAAAAAGCAATATACCTCATTGAAGGCTCTGGGGTCTGACACATAGACTCAAATATCAGCAAAGGGATAAAAAATTCCTGATGGTGTCCAAGGCCCGGATGCCAGCTGTCCCTATGTGAGGCCTCTCGTTAAGGATGCTAATCCCAGTGCCTCAGATAATGAAAGTACCTCACTTCAGTGGAATTCATTTCTTTTTTTGTATAAACTGGGTGTTTTACCACATACAACCAAAACTGACTGATCTAATGCATATACTTCCCACAAGCACAAGGTTCTCGCAATGATTAAGTGGGATAATGTGAGAAAGATCTTTAAAAAGTATAGGACATTTTATAGGTTCTATGTATAACTATTACTTCCCATCCAAAATCCTTACGAGGACAGGAACAGCGAGCGGGTAGCATTCAATTCTGAGGCTTCGGAGAACAAGTAGCCTATAAGAATCATGATCTACTTACACAGTGACATACTAAAGAATTTGTCTGGTTTTTGTCCTGGGTTCCTGACAGGGAGTTTCTAAAACCCTTGGAATTTCCGGAGTGATTAAAGTGTCTTTATGATGCTAATGAGGTGACTCAAAGTGGGCTCCTAGATAGCTTCAGAATGAGGCTGGTCATCAGAAAGACTAACCCAGGATTAGAAGAGGTTAGGACTCTGAGTCAGGTCAACCTAGGGGGTGGGAAGGGGACCAGAAACTGAGTTCAATCACAGAGCCAATGATTTCATCAATCATGCCTTCATAATGAAGCCCCGATAAAAACTGGGGCCGGCCGAGTGGCTCAGTTGGTTAAAAGCTCGCTTAAGAGTTTGAGCTCTGAGCAACAGCGGTTCGAGTTCCGGCCCGAGCTGAGCAGCCGCTGAGCTGCCAACAAGTAGCAGGATGGCTCAGCTAAAAAAACAAAAAACAAAACAAAACTCTGGACACTGATGCTCAGTGGAGCTCCATCCTGATGTGCTCTGGCTCAGAAGGGAGGACATGGAAGCTGCCCAACAGCTCACCCTAAGTGTATCCTTTATAATAACTCTGTAACTGCAAACACAGCGCTTTCCTGAGTTCTGTGAGTCATTCTAGTGAATTATAGAAACTAAGGGGGTTTGTGGGAATCCCAAGTGTGTGGCGAGTATGGCTGGCTTGGGGACATGAATTGACGCTGGTGTCTGAAGTAAGGGCAGTCTAGTTGGGGAGATGCCCTTTAACTGTGGCATCTGCGCTAAGTCTAGGTGGTTAGTACCAGAGCCAAATTGCAATACATCCCAACTGGGGTTCAAACAGTCCGCAACCAAGGGGAAAATGCTGTCCTCTAATAATAGCTAACATTTATGAGACCTGTGTTCTTAGCCCAGTGCCTGGAAAACAGAATCTTATTTAATCCTCACAAAACAACCCTAAGAGGTAAACCCTTTTACAAATCAGGAAATTAAAGCTGAGAGAGGTTAAATGATTCCCGAGGCAACAGTGACAAAGATAGGACTCAAAACCAGGTCCGATTTTAGAGTTCTTAATCACACATGGTCCTCATATGGCTAGAAGCAATGAGTTATGAAAATTCAAAATTCCCTAAGCCATCTTTACAACCTGGGTACAAAAGTTATTATTCACATTTGCAGCCTGTATAAATAATTTAAAAGTTAATAAGTGTTATGAGCATTTGGACTTTGACATTTGCTACTTACAATCCTGCCCAGTTAATATTTTTTAAAGGTCAAAAAGAGAAGTCTTACTTCCAGTGAAGTTCAGCGGCATTGTAATTCCATCAGTGTCTGTGCGAGTTAATAAGGCCTCTCCACTAATCAGATATGAAAGCTCTTCAAATCCAAGGCATGTGCCCCACACAGGAAAATAGTCTCCATCATCAAAACTCTTTGAAAAAGAAAACTAAGCTTACTGAAACTTTTCAAAACAAAAATTAGACTTTAGGTTTCTCATTACAAGGCAGGAACTTATGCTATGCATGGATTTCTAAAGAATTTTCCAGGTTCCATAAGTAGGCTATCACTTCATCTCTCTGCAGACCAAACTTCCACATAATAATTCCATTTTAATCAGCCACACTATCCAACCTCGGCTGTTCTGGGAGGGACTGACATCTGCCAGTCACTTATCAAACAACACAAGTAACAATTAGAGACTGTAAATATCAAACACAATGCTAGACAAATGCCTATTTTTACATCTTCTATAAATCTTGTCACTTTGGATGATTGTCTGGCTTTAAATACACTCCTTCCTCCACTATCTCAGAATTTATACTAATAGCTGCATTATACCACCTTCAGCGAATCAGATTTAAAGCAGCGCAAAGCCATGATCTGGGAGGAAAGGAAGAGTAAGGAAAAGGCTAAGCAGAAATAAAATCGATTTTCATAGAGTAAAAGTTGTCAACTAAAAAAGTGCAAATGTACTGGTTTTCTTTAAAGGCTGTCACAACAGCTAGCATGACTGGGGAAAATGTATTCTAGTGACTTGAGTTCTCTGGATTAAAACCATATGCACTGATAGTGGCAAAAACTAGTTTTGTAACTTTTCTAAAACCAGTTTTCCTGCAGTGACTGTAAAATATGATGTAACAGTAACTCATTTTAAATGAGGAAGTTGTTGGAGGCTTTTTTTCTGTTCCTGAGAAAAATACAGAATTACATTAATTCCTGTACTTTCCATCCTGAAGTAGGATTTTAACACTTTACATACAGGTCTGGCAAGTTTTATGTTTAGGAGTTAGAATTTTATACATTAAGTTGAAGGGTCTTACTGCATTTATTTATAACAAACACAAAAGAGGGTTTAACCATTCTCTGTTCCCATATGTGCCAAATATAATTTCTCAGCTAAATGGTGACATCCCCGCTTGCTGAGAACACATCTTTTATTTCCGGTGAACCTAAGCACAGCCTAGCAGAGCAGAGGGGAACTGAATGGATCTAACAGACTATCCACTTCCCAGGGCTTCTTCACTGAGGGCTGGGCAGGCCCCAGTGACGATCGCTAAATAAGACGTTCAAGGTTGCTCAGCTTTTTTCCTTTGTTTTGAAATCTTCAAGCAGCTGCTTACATATATTTTTTAAATAAATCTTTAGGTCTTATGGGTTATGTGGCTCCTTTTCTTTTTAAGTTGAACAAGTTAGTTACATGAGTCTCTAGATGGAAAAGAATGACTGATTTTTAATGTTCATATATATTTCCCAAATGCATTTTAAATCACTCACATTGTAAAATTTTAATTTTGTTCACTAGTTTTTCAAAAAAAGATATCCACTAAGCATGTACTAAGTACATAGAACCATACACTCTGAAATGAGGAACGCCTCAAAAGTGTCAGAACCAGGAAATCTGATGAGACATGAACAGCTGACTTCGAGATATAAGCCCCATCTGGTCATGGACCCTGTCATATTACAGAATTGGAGCTAAATAAATGTTTGACCAATTCTACAACAAAATCCTCCAAGAGTTAAGAGGGAGGGCGTGGGGAGCCACTGCAGCTGGAGTAGGCTGAGGAACCTTTACAGGAGAACAGCACCTCAGCCTTGAAAGGTGGCTGAGATGTCAACTGGGGTGGAGTAGAAAGAAACAGACTCAGCAGATGTCAAAGGAAGACAGAGTATGTGCTGGAAATACCAACCTGGCTTCAATTACTTGCATAAGGAAAGGCTGGGGAAGGTGGGTTGTCGACACAGTATGCCTTCACCCAAAGACTATAAAAGACTACAGGTTATTTAGCCTAGCCAGTAAGAGTTTTCAAACAAGTATCCCATATGCTAAAAGCAGCTCTTTAGGGAAATATTGGGATGGGGAGGGGGGTCCAGCAAAAGTAGAAAATTGCTGTTAAAAATTCGGGGGGGGAATAGTAGGGGTCTGAGATACAGTGGAAAGGCAGGCCCGAGGTGAGACATTACAAAGGAGGCAAGCAACTCTCGTCAGTAACTGAACATGAAGTTAACTGCGAAGAAACATCAAATATGATGGAATGAGTCAAGACAAATAGTTTTCAAGAGGAGATGAGAATTAATAACATATGAACGATGCCCAGTACATAATCGGAACCATGAGGACCTGGTTCACACAGGTGAGCATGAGGACAGAGGGCCAGTCAGCAGGGTTCCAAAGGCGTCCTGGAGCCCGGAATTAAAGGATGCACACGGAAAACAGGCAAGAGCCACCACCGGCCACCCACAAGCAGGCACATGGCGGTGAAGGGGTGAGGAGGCGAGGTCCTTGTGAAGGCAGTACTACCATGTGCTTGAAAAAGGAGCTATCCCCATGGAAAATTACAAAAACCAATCTGCAATAATAAGAAACAACCGATAGTTACCTGTATGGCAAGGTTGTAAAATTTTTTGGCCACGTGGGCATAACCTGACTCCATGAGGTTAACACTTCCTCCAGGATACAGGACCCTGAAACAACAGCAAATAGGGTGCATTTTAACCCCTCCCCCACAGAAAATAAATAATCTCTTTTATTTTAAAACAACTTTTTCTTTATTACATAAGCAGTAAGATCATTACAGAAAATGAGAAAACTAAGGCAAAAAGAAAATATGACATATTTACGATCCTGCCCATTTGTGAATTACAGCAGTTAAGAATACTTTTGTGGGGCCGGCTGAGTGGCGTATTGGTTAAGAGCTGGCTTGGGATGCCAGAGGGCCCCGGTTCGGATCCCACATATGAGGGCCAGTGACACTGCCCTCCACAGCTAAGATGCTGAACAACAGCTCAACCTGGAGCTGGGCTGCCGTGAGTCGCCGGCGTAGGCTGCAGCCCCTGCTGCAGTGGGTTGCCATGGGCTACCGTATGTAGCCAGTAGCCGCAGTGAGCGGCCGTCCAGAAGCCGGCGACTGATCTGCCTCGCCCGGGAAGAGCGCAATGATGGTGCCAACTTGGACCAGTGAAGCAACATCCTCCACAACTAGACTGAAGAACAAAACAACAGCAACTTGTCTGTTCCCCTTCCCCCAATTCCCCAATAAAAAAAATCTTAAAAAAAAAAAAAGAATACTTTTGTGCACATGCTTTCCAAAACTTCTTTGATAAACAAGTTTATTTTTGAAATTGAGTATGGGTAAATTAAATTAATGGCAAATAAATGGAGTAAGGGGATAGAGTACACAGAATTAGAAATCAAGTAGAGATAAAATTCCAAATATAGCTAAATTTAAATTAAGGTAATCCATGCTGCCAAAATCAATTGCAGGTCCATAATTATGGGTCAATTTTGTGTCATGAAGAATTTTTTTTAATCAGGAAGAACAAACTGATCATAAAAATACATGTAGGCTAGAATTAAATATCCATGAGAATTAATTCTTTATTATCACCCTGCGATCACTTCAGAAATAAGCATGGGATTAGAAAATTTTGAAAAAGAACACAATTGCAATTGTAGAAAAATCTAGGGGGAAAAAGGAGGGAATCACAAACATCTGATTTTATTTTACTCTACCCATAAAGGTGAAATATAGAAAAACATTTACTATGTGTTTATGTCAACTTTTTAAAGTAACTTTAACTTTTAAACATTATAACAGGTCTTGGAATAAGTAAGGATACTCCAAAGATATTAAAAAAGTTAGATTAAATGTATTAAAATTTTGAAAATACTTAAATATGAATTTGAGGTATGTGAAATAATCACGAGATTGTTGTTCATTCAACAAATATACTCTGCTTCCTGCATAAGCCGGGGTCAGTGTTAGCCTGGAGAGCCAAACAGGAGTAATTTTCACTGTTAGTAAGATCACAGTCTAGTAGAAAACATTTAAACTCTGAGTAGAACAGCTGCCACAAAACCATGCAAAAAACCCTAAATTCAAAGTGGCTTAATGAAGACTCATTTAGCAGTTCTCCCTTTTCACTTCTAAAAAGCTGCCGCTGATCAAATTTGGTACATTTAATCCCAAAGTCTTTTCATAAAGTAAAACTTGAGTGTCCCTCCCAGTTGGCAAACTCCTTTAAAGCCAGGCTTTGCCTGTGCACCGCTGTGCACCCCCAAAACAGTACGGGATCCACTGCATTCCAGGGCCCAATAAAGGTATTTCACAAGTTGCATTAGAGTACTGCTCATTTTCTAGTTAGATTTTGAGGTTCTACCATATATTCTAGCCTGAACTTTTTTATCTTTGTCCGTGCCAAACAACATTGCACATAATGGGCATTTTAAATGTTTTACCAAATTAAAGTGATTTTATAGTAAATATTTACTAAACCAAACTGAACTGAAGGCAAATGATTGTTTTGAACATAGCCTTTAAAAAAATTGTAATAAACACAGCTTTAGAAAACAAGCTCTTTCTATAAAAGCTTTACAGTAATAGACTCCCTTTACCCCACTCCCAATCAGAAACCACCACCATTAAAATCTGTTGTGTTGACCTGATAGATATATTATGCATATCTCCTCACCCCTACCTTAAAATCCAAAGTAAATGGGACTACACATACCATTATGTGCCTTGCTTTTTTCTGTATAACAGTATCACATTGTTCACGTAACAACAGTGATCCAAAGCAGCATCTATAGATATCCTCACTTTTAACATGTACATAATATTCTATCCTATTCAGATAGTCTATTTTATTTACTGTTGGACTAATGAGTAGCTTCTAGATTGGGGGGTGGGGAGGGTTTCATATGTTTGGGCCTAAGTCTTCATATAAGAGGAAATATATTTGTAAAATAAAATTCCTTCCAAAGTATTTCCTGGATCAAAGGGCATTTTAAATTTCAATAGATATTGCAAAACTGCCTCCAAAAGACTATATAACTTACACTCTCATCAATAAAGTATAAGAATAACTGTTTCCTCATACCCTCACCATAGAGTAGTAGCAAATTTTCTGATCTCTGCCAACTTGATAGTTAAAATATGGTTTTTAATTGTTATAATTAGCTTTCCTTTAATTATGAGTAATGTTGAACATTTTTTCACATGATTAAAAGTTCTTTTCTGTGAGCTAACGAATCATATAATTTGCATCTCTTGCATCTCTCAACAAAATAATTCCTATAAAATAACTCAGAAAACTGTTACACAACTATAAGACAGTTACACAGAAACACATAGAATATTTACATGTACTTTTTCACAAGAGCAGGCTACACAGACGTCATACGTTGTATCAAGCCGACGCTACCGACTTACCCATTAAGAGACTGGAAAAGCTTTTCATATTCTTCATTTGTAAGATTAAGCCTGAAAACAAGAAAAATAGTTACAGAACATCCACTTCCAAAACCTAAGAAAATAGTGAGCCTCTAAATGAAGTCACCACATTAATTTTAAAAAGCCAGACGAAAAATAATTCTTAAATGCTAGACAATATTACCTCTCACTTTCCTAGAGGCATTTTTTCAAATTACGTGAAAGCCACATAATTATATTCTTGTTTTGCTAATCAGACAAGTAAACATGTTTTTCTGTGGTCTAATATAAGTTAATATTTCCAGTGTGGTTAATACGCAAAACATGAAAGCATGAGATGTGGAGATACAGAGAACAAGCTGATGGTTGCCAGATAAGAGGGGGAGTTGAGGGAATGAATGAAAAGGGGGAAGGGATTAAGAAGTACAAATTGGCAATTATAAAAATAGTCACGGGGATGTAAAGTACAGCATAGGGATTATAGTCAATCATATTGTAATAACTGTATAGTGTCAAACGGGTACTAGATTTATCAGGGTGATCACTTCCTAAGTTATATACCGTGTTTCCCCAAAAATAAGACCGGCTCTTATATTAATTTTTGCTCCAACAATCTACATTTATTCATTTATTCATGTACAAAAATCTACATTTACAAACAGTCATGTCAGGCTGACGATCTTAACTGGGGCTTATGTTTGGGGTAGGGCTTATTTACAAGCATCCTAAAAAAATCATGCTAGGGATTATTTTCCAGTTAGGTCTTATTTTGGGGGAAACATGGTACACGCGTAATCAACTATTATACACCTGAAATTAATATAATACTGTATGTCAACTGTAACTGAAAATTTTTTTAATTATTTTTTAAAGAATGAGATTTGGGCACCAGTAATTTCTCTGCTAGCCAATCAGTAGTTTTTATGTAAAGTCTAAACAGATTTATTAACATGCCTATCTTAACTACAGGCAGCTTTGGCAGATAAAAACAATACATATAGGCCAGCCGAGTGGTTTGGGATGCCAGAGGGCCCTGGTTCAGATCCCACATATGAGGGCCAGTAACACTGCCTTCCACAGCTAAGATGCTGAACAACAGCTCAACCTGGAGCTGGGCTGCTGTGAGTTGCCAGCGACGGCATAGGCTGCAACCACTGCTGCAGTGGGTTGCCATGGGCTACCGTGTGTAGCCAGCAGCCAGCGTGAGCGGCCAGCAGCCGCAGTGAGCGGCCGTCCAGAAGCCGGCGACTGATCTGCCTCGCCCGGGAAGAGCGCAATGATGGTGCCAACTTGGGCCAGTGAAGCAACGTCCTCCACAACTAGACTGAAGAACAAAACGATAGCAACTTGTCTGTTCCCCTTCCCCCAATTCCCCAGCACTGTTCCCATCTCCCAATTCCCCAATAAAAATCTTTAAAAAAAACAATACATATAAGTGCCACGTCCCTGCTTCTTCCCACCCCCACCCCCAACTGCAAAGGCCTGGGGACTACTGTGTATTCAAAAGTCGGAAGAGTTCAGACAGAGGGGAAGATGACACACAGATTACTGCAGACTGGCCTGATGGGCCCAGGTCATTATTCTGAGGCACCTTCATCAAACATCCCAGGAGTGCCTCCTAACAATCACCCTGTTACTGACGATTTCATCCGCTTCTCCAGAGAAAAACGATGGCATTAATCTGTGACGATTGGCTACAGCCTTTAATTAAGTCCCAGTAAGATGGGTTTGCTCTTCCAAAACTTCAAAGAAATGCAAGAACAAGGGAACGGAGGCATGATGTCCATGAAATTCCTACAAGAACTCTCCTACATTTAGCAGTCTTCTCATTCTGAAAGAGAGTAATAAGGCATAATGGCCTCTCACCCTGCCACAAAAGAAGTAGGTTAATAATCAAATGTCAACTACAGCCCACTTCTGCCCCGGGAAAGTCTTACAGGAATTAGAACACCTTTCCTATTAGTAAGGAGACACCTGTGATGCCCAGAACTTGGCTGTGCTTGGCCAGCAAACCCCTCTGGGCTTTCCTCTACGTCCAAGTGAGCTGTACAAACCCAAGTCTGTTCAGAAGTTCATAATAATCCTTCTGGCAGAGAGCTACAAAGCAGTGGGTGATACTGCAACGGTACTGACCAGTCTCTTGTATGGAGGATAAATGGGCTGGCAGCTCTGACTAGGGAAGCAACAGGGAGATAAAATGTGATTCCACTGTTCCCAGTATTCCGCCAGTTCAATCTCCCCAGATTGTGCCAACATAAGGGAGCCAGCCAGGACCCAGAATCTTCCCCAGAGATATTTAAACCAGGACGGGCAACCTCCACCATCAGGAAACAGAATGGGCTGAGACCACTCGGCGGCACTCCAGGGACTCCTGCCAGCTAGCCATGCAGGCCAGTTTCAATCATTTCGTTAGTTCCAAATAAATGGCCCCCACATTGTCTATGACTGTATTTTTGGCTCCTGCAGATCACTATTAAGGGCCTTAATTGTTGCATATTTGGCGCGGGGGCGGGGAACGGGACGACGACATCACAAACTCAAGTGCCTCAGAGGCCTGGTAGGGAAAACAGGGCAGGTCATACACTTTAAACGTAGATGTTATGTGCATGTTGTCAGACTTTCCAAAAGCAAAAGATCCTCTCAATACAGTATGAGAAATAATAGTTCACTCTCTCTTTAACCAAAACAAAACAGTTTAAGCCTGGTAATGGTGACAGTGACAGGCATTGTTGCCAGTGGACAGCACTTGCTCCACTTAAAATCAGCTCCACATAATTGTGTTTAAAAAAAGCAGCAGCAGCAGCCAGAAATTCAGACTTTTATGAAGTCTTCTCATTTGTAAATGTTTACAAACGTTTTAAAATGTTGTGTGAATGAAACACATTTTTAAACCAAAAGCAGCCCATGCTACCTCTCAGAAGGACGCTCTGTGGGCTCCACCAGTCCCTCAGTGGGAATTTACAATAACCTGAGAGAGAAGGTATCAGAAAGAAGGCGGGAGGAAACCAAAGACTAACTTCCTTACCTGCTCCCGAATTTTGCCTGTATCTCCCATCCTCCTCCTCTTCTATTCTAAACCTGCAGAAGTTGGCTCCCAGCATCAACATTCAGAAACGAACCCCCAACATTGTCAGTGCGATCCTGTCTCATTCTACATTAGGTAACCCTTGGCAGCTTACTCTGGGAATTTAGCTGCTATGGATTACATTGTTTTTTACAGGATTATGTGACTAATTCCGAACAATTTCCTTAAAATGAACTTTGGGAACCCAAGCCGGAAATTAACCTAGATGCTGACAGTCACATTTTCACAGTCACATTTTCAGTATCTCTGTCAATAATGCTCTTGAGTCATCGGTTTCAAAACTTCCGCAGTTTCAAAATTTCTGTCATTCTCGTCTGTTCCTTTTATTCCATGAGTCATCAAGTCGTGTTCATTTTTTAAAGGAACATTTACCTATCAACCCTACAACCACTGCTCTAAGCCAAGCTCTGATCACTTCACACCTCGCCCACTGTAACCGTCTCTGAACCAGTCCCCCGTCCTACCTCCCATCCATGCTATCGGCACTAATGTCCCAAAGAACAGCTTGTAGAAAAAGCTTCCTTGATCACAATTTTGAAACGTTGTTCGGAAGATTCTTGGGAGCCTCTTCCTCAGCCCTAAAACTCTGCTGTTATCTGAGTTCCAAATAAAATTTCATTTCAAACTTTAGATCTGCTAATAAAGAATTATAGACTAATGTCAAAAGCAAATGTTAGCTTGGGGTGGAGATGGTGAAATGAAAAAATAGAGCAAAGCAAGAAAAAACTCTTAGGAAGCTAAACATAAAACCATTTTGTGTATAATTCTCTATAAAATTTGTATTTTGGTTATTCATGTTCTATTTGAACAGTATTTCTTTGTTATAGTTTTTAGTGCAGAATTATTACAAAAAAACAGGTTGCCCAGAGCAAACAGTTTGTGTGGGAAATCACCTATCATGGACTAGATAGCAGAGTGGGAAGTTTCTAATACACTAATTTGGGATGATAATATGAATACTTATAAGGTTTTGTTTGTTAAAAAAAAATTCAACTCTTTCCAAATCAATATATGACATGAATCATGTTATCACTAGGCCATTACATCACAAAAATAATCCAGCTTTTTAAAAACGACAATACCTGCAATTAATACTGAAGCAACACTGCTGTATTAGTCATTTACAAACTTTTTAAGTAGGGCGTGAAGGTATTTCGTAAGTCATCTGCTAAAAAGCGCCATCATTCCCTGAGTGTAGCCTTCTCCTCATGTTACAGAATAAAGCTGGTTAAGTTGTAGACGCTTTACGCCATTACTTTCATGATGTCTGACGAGGATGACCTTTTCTGGGGCAAAGGAAACTATCACTTCATTCTCTATCTAATAAATATGACAAACCTCTAATGACATTATAGATACACATAACTTCATACTTGAAACAATTCAGTGAGAGACTTTACGCATCAGATTTGGGGCAAAAATCAGGTGCAATGTTACCACATTTAAATGATGCAGTCATAAAAAAGAAGGCATCCATTTTAGAGATTAAAGGTAATTTTGAATTTAAAACAGCAATTTTTATTTATGCGATGCAAAAAATATTCAATCATACCTTATTGGTACAACTCTCGCACCTGCAGACTCCAGGTACTTTACATAGGAGGCAGCAATATAGTATTTTCCCAGGTTTTTCATTTCCTTACTACGGCACTGTTGCATTAATATTCCTAAATTACAAAAAAAGAGAAAAGTTTTAGTTTCAAGCAATTTCTTTTTACCTGCTCAGAAACTGAAATGCATCCCAGTAAAAATATCACTATAGTAGACCCTTTTATCCATGGTTTCCCTTTCTGAGGTTTCGGTTATCCAGGGTCACCTGCATCTAAAAACATTATATGAAAAATTCCAGAAATAAACAATTCATAAGTTTTAAACTGCACACTGTTTTGTGCAGTGTGATAAAATCTCGAGCGGTCCAGCTCCATCCCACGGCACGTGAGTCCATCCCTTCATCCAATATCTCCACGCTGCAGATGCACCGCGACCATTATTCACTAGTAGCCGTCTCAGTTACCAGATTGACTGTCGGTGGTACAGCACTTGTGTTCAAGTAAACCTTAGTTTACTTCACAATGGCCCCAAAACACAAGAGTAGTGATGCTGGCAACTCAGATATGCCAAAGAGAAGCCGGAAAGTGCTTCCTTCAGTGAAAAGGTGAAGAATACAATAAGAAATTTTGAGAGAGAGAGAGAGAGAGAGAGAGAGAGAGAGAGAGAGAGAGAGAGAGAGAGAGGGAGGGAGAACATTCACATAACTTTTATTTATTACAGCATACAGTTGACTCTTGAACACGGATGGGTTTGAACTGTGCGGGTCCACTTAAATGCTAATTTTTTTTACTAAGTATACATTCAGCCCTCCATTCACAGATTTAACCAACCACGGATCAAAAAGATTCTTTTTAATCTTCAGTTGGGAATCCACAGATGCAGAGGGCCGACTTAAGTTTTACGTGGGTTTTTGACTGCACGGGTCAATTATATTGCTGTAACTGTTCCATTTTATTTTTAGTTATTGTTGCTAATCTCTTCCTGGGCCTAATTTAGAAATTAAATTTTATCATAGGCATACATGTGTAGGAAAAAACATAGTATATACAGGGTTCGGTACTATCCACAGTTTCAGGCATCCAGTGGAGGTCCTGGAATATTTCCCACTTGGATACGTGGGGACAACTGAACTTTACTTATTCAATTCAAAGAATTAAATATGAAGCTTCTCCTGCAAGTATACCCATAGACTTTGGGAAAGGAGCAACGGAGGTTCATCTGAGTTTTCAGGAGCCTCCTCTTTCTCTCCTCATCTGGAGGCCAGGTTTACAGTCTCGCCAGCCTCCTTCATGCAACCTTAGGCCTAGAATGAATCTCAGAGTAGAGATCCTTAAATCTAGAAGGAGGCCTCCCCCTGCCCACACACACTCAAAGACATGTTGCTTCCTTGACAACAAAGAGTGTACGTGTCTTCTATCCATCTCTCTCCAACATCACCAACACTACCTCAGTCGAAGCAACCAACATCTTGCTTCCCTCCAGACTATTATAATAGCTTCTTAAAAGGTCTCTCTACATCCTTTCTTAAACAACCCCTACAACTCCAACCAGTTCTCTGGAAAGAAACGTGATCACATCACCATTCATTCATTCATTTCCTCAGCATACTGGGGGTGCCAAAAGGGGGTGCTAAAAAAATGTATACACATGACTTGTATTCATCTTTTCTTATCAGTATATATTGAATATTACAATTTTAATACATTTTCCTTTCTTAAAATGTATATACATTTTTTTGGCACCCTCTGTATATTATTAAATCATACTATATATCAGGTACCGAACTAGGTAGGTATTGCGGACACCTGAGTGAACAAAACTAACAAAAATCCTTGCCCTGTGGGCTTTCATTCTAGTGTGTGGGAGAGGGAGGAGAGAGAACAATAAACAAGATAAAAAAGTAAAATGTACAGTGTGATGATGGCTGGTGCTAAGTGCTAAGGAGGAAAAGTAAAGAAGGGGTGTGTTTGGGGGCATGCGGGGTGTCCCATCTATAGTGGGGAAGACAGTCTCTTAACTAGAGTGGCCAGGCAAGACCTCCCTGAGAAGGTGCAACATGACATTCCAGCCAGGATTTCGGAGAGGTGAGAGAGTACACCATATGCAGATATCTGGGGAAGAGGCATCCAGGATGAGTGAAGACAAGTGCAAAGTCCCTGAGTCCGGTGTGTGCTTATCACATTGCAAAGAAGCCATGTGACCAGAGCCCTGTGTAAGAATTTGTTTCAGGAGAGAAAACAATACGAGATGAGATCAAAGAGATAACAAATCAGCAGGGCGCACCTCCTTGCATAAGGACTTCAATGGGTTCCTAAACATTACAAGACCCTGTGTGCTCTGCCCCACCTACCTCCCTGGCTGCCTCTTACCACCGAAACATCAGCCCCAGCACAGCACTGGGTCACATCAAAACATCGTCTATCCGGAGAGTACACCTGTGCCATGTCATTCTCTACTTCACCATTTGGAATACTTGTAATATCTTTGTAGGCTACCAGACAGGCAGCGCTGTCTATTATCAATCACTTCTGTAGTCCCAGCTTCTTAAAATAACTGGCATTTATCAGGCACTCAGGTAACACATACCAAATGCCGAAATTTATTCAGTAAGACTGTTTTTCTCCTTGTGGATAGGTAAGATCACTTTCATTGAGGGAAATGAAATTCGGTAGGGAAAGAATTAGGGCGAGTCACAGGAAATGGAGTGGTACAGGGCAGGCAAGGGGGAGGTGCCACAAAGGAGGCCTGGGACATGTGAACACAAGGTACCAGAAAGGAGAAAAATACAAGAGAGTAGGTACGTTCCACCAACTTCTCCCACCTCGTGCCCCAAACATACTCACTTTTGCCATCCTATATTCCCAGGCTTCAAAATGTGACCAAAATTTCATCCATATTTTAAAGTGATCCTATAAGTTCTGTGGCTTCCTTGTCTTTGAATCCTCTGCACTTCCTAACTTAATGATTTGCACATAGTAGGTGCTCAGTAAACTACTTTGTCTTAATTGATCAGCATACTCACTTTTTCTATATTTGACCCTGGACTACCACCGTTTCGAGGAAAGGGAAAAGAATCCCCTTCCTCTTTCCTTTTTTTGCCTCGTCCCTGCACCCACAGTTCCCAATACTCTACACAGAATTATATTTTGAGTTAATTCTCCTTGGAGAATCTAGCCACCATTTAAAACAGCTATAAATAAGGTGTTCCAATTTCCAAATACTGATATGCAACTCACTTAAAAATGAGACACTACCAATATATACAGAAAAATGTTCATTTACTTTGTATCTAGTTACAAAACATAGGGCTCCTCTTCGTGGAAAAAAATACAGCATAATGCTTTAACTAAAATAAAACCAATCTTAATTGTCTGCCAGATTATTTTGGCAATTTTTTTTTGGTTTGGTTTGGTTTTTTTTTTGGGGGGGGGGGTTGCAAATTTTAATTCCAGGCTGATTTCTCCTGAGTAACTTCCTCTGCCTTATCTCAAATGTCAGTTCTGGCAATGCAAACTGATTTTACTCTTTTTAAAACCTAAATCTGTTGGAAACGAAACATTAAATGCTTCATTTTAACACCAAACAGACTGACATTATAACCGCACTAGCCACTGCTGCCCTCCGCTGCTGAAGGTGACAAAATCCAAGGTATACCATAATTTCTTGATTATCTCAATTCGATCTGTATACGTCTAATGGATGCATTGTATTCTTAAATAAGTCCTCAACCAGTGAAATTGTATTGCCTATAGTGCATGCACAGAATTTGTTTAATTAGTAGAAATTCCTGGCTATGTACAAAGAAGAAAATCCGCAGGACTCTTCACAGTGCTCCCTCCTCCCTTCCCAACTTTAAAGCCACGTGATTTTGAAGAAATCACCGAGGCCTCAGCTATATTTCAGCACGATCCAAATAGTGTCTGGGCTCGGCTCTCGTGCTGTGCATGAAGGCACACGTCCTAAGCTTGCAGCTGGGTATTTCTCAGGCTGGATGCACGCGCTAGCGCCGAGCCCCGCAGCGCAAGCCGCCAGCGCGGACACCAGCCCCGGTCCCCGCCCCGCCTTCTTACCGATGATGGGCTTCGTGGAGTTGGAGTCGAGGGAGACAGACATCCCGAGGCTCGCCGTCCCACACAGGAGCAGGCTCAGCACGTACAGCAGGTAGCCCGGGCTCGCCATGGCGCAAGCCTCTGCCGCCGCTTTTCAAAGGCACTGCGGGCGGGTCTCCGACTGCGGCAGCCTCGGGGCACTCGGGGGCGCTCGGGGGCGCCGGGCAGGGGCGGAGCTCCGCCGCGGGGGCCTCTGGGAAACAAGGTGCGAGCGCGCGCGCGCAGATGGGGCTGGGAGGCTCCCGGGGCGAGTCCCTAGCGCCCGTCACGTCGTGCAGCCCGGCTGTGCCACCCGCGGCGCCGCGACGGACACGCCTCCTCGGGGGCTCCTGTCGAGTCTGTGGAAACGGCTGGATGGGCACGGGGTAGTCTCCGCGTCCCCGGATCTTCCCTTTCAGCTGTTTTATCCATGTGACCTTGGGTCAACCGTAACCAGGCTGAGGCGCCCAGGCCCTCGAATTTGGCGCCAGCTGTCTGTAGCCCCTGCGCCGAAGGCTAGACAGAGCCTTGTCAGGAAGGCTGCCCGCCGCGGCGGACACACGGCGTCGGATGTAAGGACAGGCTCCGGAGGTGGTCTCCGCAGCCTGCGGTTTCCTTCCGGGGTCCAGGCATCTGGAGGACACAAGAGCCCGGGAAGGGAAGGGTGACCACCTTCCCAGGCGCATGGCCTCGCCTCAGAACCGGGTCAAGGACAGGCCGACTCCTGGCACCTCCTGCAGAGCGGCGAGGCCAGGCCAAACCCTCGAGGCCTACCGACGTCGCCGGTTGACGCCAACCACACGCCTGTCTGTCCTGCAAACGGGGGCAGAGATGATGACGTTGGTTCCTGTTCATTAAACGTATTCTGAAGTTTCTTGTTTAAAATTTTAAAAGAGATTTAGAATCACTATTTTGATGGGAACATAGACAAAAGACAGAAACCTTTTTCTCTCTGTGCGTGAACACCTAAATATAGAGATAGGGCTGGTGGAAGTTCCCTCCTGGAAGGGCCAAATGAAATTCGGAGTAAAATTGAAGAGTATTTGAAAACCTACTCTATCGATGCTAAGTATTGAGGCTGCAAAGATGGACTGGGCCATGTCTTTTTCACAAGAAGTTTACAATTTCATAAGGACAGGAGAGAACATGATTATGGAGAGAACAAGAGCATAGCTTTGACATATGTCAATATGAGTGAATGCAATAAGTAGTCTGGTTTGACAAGACTAATGCTTTTGTAGCAGGGTGTGATGATAGATAAGCCCAAAGGTTGTGGTTAAAGATATTGTGCAAGACCTCTGTATTCAGCTGGTTCTGAACGTAATTGGACAAAGAACCTTTGTACATATGAATTTGTGATGCAGGAACACAAATGAACACAGGAAAAAATTAAATGATTACCTGGCATTATACACAATAAATTCCAGGTGAGTAAAGATGTAAATGTGAAAGACAAAATAGCATACTTTGATAAGAAAATACAGAAATGTGTATTCATGACTTCGGTGGTCAGAAGGATTTCCTAAACCTCATATAAAAAATGCAAATGTTAATGGAAAAAAATTGACACATTTAATGATATGATGTAAATTTTTCTATATAACCTTAAGCAAATTAAAGGTAAGGCACAAACTTGGAAAATATATTTACAAAATATAGAATGTCAAAAGTGTTCATTTCTAGGGCTGGCCGGGTGGCGCAGTTGGTTAAGACCACGAGCTCTGAGCAACAGGGTCACCAGTTCGATTCCCACATGGGCCAGTGAGCTGCGCCTGAGCTGAGCTGCCAGCAGGTGGCAGGATGGCTCAGCTGGTGAGAGCACGTGCTCCTAACAAGGTTGCCGGTTCGACTCCCGCATGGGATGGTGGGCTGTGCCTCCCAGCAACTAGATTGAGAGCAGTGACTGGACTTGGAGCTGAGCTTGCGCCCTCCACAAGTAAGATCGAAGGACAACAGCTTGACTTGGAGCTGATGGGTCCTGGAAAAACACAATGTTCTCCTTCCCCAATTCCCCAACACTGTTCCCTTCCCCTGTTCCCCAATAAAATGTTTTTTTTTTAAAAAGTTCATTTCTAGAATCTACAAAGAACTAAACTCAAATTTAAAAAAAAAATAGAAAAATGGGAAAAGAATATGAAGACAAACTAAACCTTCACTAGCCATCAGGGACATGCATGTTAAGACAAGATAGTATGTCACACCCATCAGATTGACAAAAATGTAAACCTTGATAATGATAAATCAAATGTGTAGAAAAATGAAAATTTTCTTAATGCTGCTGGTGGAATTATAAATTATTACAACCATTTTTGACAGCAATTAGGCAATGCCTGGTAATAGCGAAGATGCACATATTCTGTAACCCAGCACTGTTAGCATGTAGGTATATACCCGAGGGAAATGCTTGCATGTGTGAAGAAAAAAATATATACAAGTATGTTCTTTGCAGCATTTTTTGTAATAGTGAAATATTAAATTCAATGTAAATTACCATCAATTAGAGAATGAATAAATAAATTGTATCATTAATAGACTTAGAAAGGATGAAAGAATTGGAGTTACTTATCAACAAAGATAAAGTTTTATTAATAAGAGATAACAGAGGCAAATTATGCTTGGGTCTAGAGCAGTGGTTCTTAACCTGTGGGTCGTGACCCCTTTGGGGGTCGAATGACCCTTTCACAGGGGT